GCATCCTCATATCTCAGTTAAAACTGATTTGTTAGACTTAAAAATTTTGTTATATAACATAAAGAAATTGCTCTGTAAAATGAGATCATTTTCATTGAAATCTAAAACGTTCGATTGAGTACAATAGTTATGCCTCCCATCCAATGATTCATATGAAGGATGTTTGATGGAGAGTATGATGAATCTTTTATAATCATTTTCTTATTTCTTTTCAAAGTAAATTATACAGTTTTGTTCAGTGTTAAATTCTCTATCGATTGATATATAAATTGGCTGTTAAACCATGCGAAGATTCTGTCAAAATTCAATATATAAGATCTTTCATTATTCTGAATCATATAGGTCAAACAGGCACCAATCTAGTAGAAGGTCAAAATAGAATGAAAGTTTCATCGATCAGGCTGAAACTTATAGAAGTGATTAATAACTTTGATCTGTATAATTGCTGAAAGCTTCATGTCAAATAATCTTTGTTTTCTAATTATATCAAAATTACCTAGGAGTCCCCTATGTTCTATACTATAGTAACCATAGGACTATGTTGTGATAACGCTCGTTGAGTCAAACTTCAAGATCCCAAACTTTTGAATGCATGTTTAAGTAGCACCAAGTTAGTAGTCTTTGAAAAAAAAATTTGAGCAAATTCTACTGAGCTGATTTTGAAAAAGCCTATCTCGAAGATAGCCTATTTTTGAGCGTAATATATAAACAGAGAAGAATTATAGTAAACACTTCAGTGATACGAAATCACGACATGAACATCATTGGATATGATGGTTAGATTGCCCATCTCAAAATGTGTAACTGGTAAAAATTTCAGAGGTCTATCATATACCGCTGAGGAGATATTGTAAAAACATCTCCAATAAAAAAATAATCGAAAAATTTCTCAAATTACTAAAAGTCTATTTTGGGTGCTATTATTGTGATTATCATATCTCAGTCAAAATTTATCCTTTAGGTCTAAAAATTTGGGGATATACCTAAAAAAAATTGTTCTACAAAATAGGATAGTTTTCGTCCAATTCTGAAATTTTCGATTGAGCAGCTATATCGAAGGATTCGTCGTGGTTCTCGTGCAATGACTCCTATATGGAAAGTAGGGTGATCCTCTCGCGGACCCTCTCTTAACATATTCAAATTTTTATATTATTAATTTCAACTTTCATATTGGACCTATAGAAGAAACTCGTCTTAGGCAAACATGAAAAGGAAGAGAAATATTCAGAGAAAATAAAAAACAAGATTCCTTTTTTTCTAATAGAATAGCTGCTTATTCAATATATCAACGTTGATTTTATTGAAAATAATGAACAATAAAAATATTTTAATAAATAAAATGATTTCAAAGTATAAAATATAAAAACAAATAAATTATATCGTTTTTTTCTGATTAGATATATCCTCAATATAGATTGAACGATAAACAGTGATCATCAATTGAGTAAAATAGATTTATTTTATAATCTGAAATTATTTTCAATGTTGAAACAATCTATAGAAATGAATGGTAGCCGTGTTTTTTGTTGAAAATATTTCTCTGACTATGAAAGATGCTTATAAACTTGTGGCATAACGAGGATTGTAGCAGTAGGAGGGCTCAGATCGAATGGAATCAATATGGTCAAGGAGATTGTGACACAGTTTAGTTTATGTGACTTCCATTGGTTAAGGTTTCAAGGCTTTACGTGAAATTTACCTAATAAATATGAAAATTTAACTATTGAATTGTTGAAAGAAAACGATATGAAACATATATATATATATATATATGGGAATCTGAAAATTCAAGAATGAACATTTATCGATATAGATTGAGTAGTTTTAATTCTATGCCTATTTCTACTTTTTATTTTTTATTTTTTTCAATCCATCACCATAGTCTAACGCGAAACGAACAAAAGACTAGAACTTTGTCAGACTCGAAGATATATCAGGTAGAACACTTTACAGAATAGATTATATTACCTCAAAAAAAAAAAAAAAAAAAACTTCCAAGTCGAAGTATTTAGTAGGAAAGAGATGTTTGATTTTTCATAATGATATGAAATAAATTGTATTCTCTAAGGAATTTTCCTTTAGTTTTTAAAAATTTTTGACTAAATATTATTTTGTAATTGATATGGAATATTCCCTAATGAGAAAAACGAAATTACCTTTTTTGTGTGACTTTTAATAGATTAAAATCTATCAAACATCGAGATTTCTTCTTTTTAGGTTATTATATATTGGTTTATCTTAACGATATTCAATGAAGTATGTTAACTGAATTACTTCTCTACATTTCGACTATGTCTCAATGATAATAATACACCTATTAGACATGTGTTCATCAAATGCTTTACGAAACATTATTTCCCTTTTTTTAAATTGATTTCTAGTCATGCATTTACAATCATACGAATTGAATTATTAGAAGAGATTCTATTTAACATAGTGCAAATTCTTATATTCTTGCTAAAGTAGATAAAAGAAATTTTCGATTATAATTGATATTCATTTTCGAATATTCACTTATCTTAAACAAACAATAAAAAAAAAAAGGAATATTAAATTTTGTGAAGAGAAATAATTCTATAGTCAAGAAAAAAATACTGTTTTTCTTTTGTTTCGCTTTTATTTCGAGTGGATGATGGGTTGATTGTTCTATTGATATTATCTTTGAATTTTTTCCTGATGATGATACACGTGTTAGTCAATCAGCTGCTTTGACTTTTGGTAAGTATGTAAGTTTTTTCTAATGATTTCATCGGACAGTCCAATAAATTGAACTAAAAATTATAATCTAAAAACTAAGCGTTCTTTCTCAGATATAAACATAAGAATAATCTTTACTTTTTGCACCACAAAATTTGAAAATTTTTTTCTTATGAAGATGAAAAATACGAGAAAATCTGATACTTTCATAATGAACTAATTCTATTGAGAAATCTTTTTTTAGCAATATTTGAATGCATAACTCGATTTCATTGCAGTAACGTTAGTTATTTCTTTATTTTAACGTTTGTTGATTCACAGTTGATATTTCGTATGTCAATGATCAATATACTATTTACTAAAATGGATTAATTCTTCTTAAATTTATTATTGATTAGAACAATAAAACATGTTCTCTAATAATATAAAATGATAAAGTATAATATGAAACAATATCATGTTTATCAACTGTAATATTTGATCATTTAATTTTAACCATCAACATCAACTCAAATAGAAATTTCTTGTTATTTTTATCGTTTTCTTAAGTTAATTATTGTTTTTTTTTAGTTTTCTAGATTGGATGTTTCGTTTACTTCTAGATTGTTTTTTAAATATCAATTTCTATATTCTATGATCTTAATACTTTCGAACTATTATCCGATATTATTAATTTAATCGTTTTCAAGTTACAGAGAAAAACATCTTTATTATATTTTAGAATTTTTTCTTCTAATCTGAAGATTTATCAAATAATGCAAACGATATAAATCATATTCAATCAAGAGAAGAAAACAATTTTCATTTTTTTAATCAAGTAAAAACATTTGTTGTTTTTTTTTTATAGAATTCTATTTATTTTTCCTGGTGTATTGTTGAAGAAAGAAGTCCATCAAGTCTACAAACATCAAAAATAGATTTTTTGTATCTATTTCTGGATATCTTAACAAATAGAAAAGCGTTTTCAAAGTAGCACAAATTATTCAAGTTATTCGAAAATTGAAAAATTTTATTTCTAAGAGACTAAAAAAGGTTTTTTCGTCAATTTTCATTGAATATTTCTATATTGTTTGATAGATCTCCACTTGTTACCATTTTCGAATAACTTGAATGAATACTCAACTCATCAGATTTTTGGACTGAAGATTATTTTCTATAGTTAACATATAAGTTTTCATACGAGAAAATAATTCTATAGTCTCAAATTTAAAGAATATGTTCGATGATGCCTCTGATTTTGTGAAAGGCTACTTGACTTCCATGTAGAATTTTCAGAACGTCTGAATGAATTGATTTGTTTTTTTATTTTTAAAGAGAATAAAAAAGATTGAAATTATATTGATAATAGAAATTTAATGAGATCAACTAAACTAATATTCATAGAATAAAATATTCGACAATCGATTATTTATTTATTTTGTTCACGTCATCCATCAAGTATAAATAGTGATCAATCCATAGAAAACAGTGCAATTAGAGAGTAAAATTTAAAAAAAAGAAACAAATTTAATCTTTTTTTTTTTTTTTTTCTAGTTTTTATTTAACTAAAAAAATTTAGTCTTAATAAATATGTTAATACAAATGAAACTGATCTTCAAGGTGATGTATTTGATTTACTTTTAATTCGTTTTAATTATAGTTTATTAGATGTTGATCAAGTTCGTTCTATTTATAATCGTTTCGTTTATTTTTAAATATTATTTTCTTACTCATATAATCACATTTTATTTATCGTATTGATAAATTTCTCTTAGACTTCATTCAAAACACATTCTTAAAGTACAACATTTAATAAAGTATTGCGATTGATTATTATCAAGTGAACATCAATATGAAACACATAGTACGAAAGAAGAAAAAAAAGATATATTTTTTTTTTATTTAACTTAATCAGCATTAGAAGCAGTTCTATATAATTTAGTTTTTTCTTCGACTTAAAACAGATAATAAACAATTAGAAGCAGAACAAATGGTAATTATTCAAACACTACTTTAACCTGTTCGATATAATAAAGTAACGTCATATTATAAGAAATAGTTGCTATGCAAATAATTAAAATTCCTAAAAAGTTTTATTAAAGGACGGTGAACAAAATATATCCTTTTATAAAGTCTCATATATTTATAGAAAGTTGAGCTCTGATAATGAGTATAATAGACAAAGCACTACTTTTATCGTTCAAATTTATATTTGTGGAAAGAAAAATTTTTCTAACATCAGTCGGTAAGGTGGTTATATCGATGGTATTGATTTCATCAAAGCAATCGTTATTCAATAATTCGTCAATGAATCAAGAATCATCTTATTGATGTTCACAACCCAACTAAATTTCAAGACAATAGTTTTAAGTCATATAATTGATAAAGGATATCGCAATGAAACTGTTTCAAGCAAAACTAGACGTGTTAATCATAATAATAAATATAAATATAATTGTTCGATGTCTTGTATAAAATTCAACTGAAAATGCTATATTAATACGATGGAATGAAGCGCTTTACCATCAGTTAATGGACACACGAGATAAAACTTTTACTGTTTAACTATTCAAACGGATTTTATTTAAAATTTTTAAAAACTATTATTCCCTATTCAGAAGTCTTTATCGTATTTAACATGATATAGTTTTACGAATTTTAACTAATACTCAATAATAACGTGTTTAAATCGTTATTACAATTAGTTTCTGTTGCATCGATTTATCTTTATTTTTTTTTTTTTGTTTTGTTTTTTTTTACATTCAGTAATCGTTTTATTTGTGCCTTTAATGGTTCACATTTAGATAGGGAAAAAAAAAAGAGATAGAAATATAAGAATAGAAAAGAAGAAACTAGATATGTAATCATTTAAGATAAAGACATAAGGACATAATCAATACAAAGCTGGTTATTCCCCAGTAATAAATATCAATCAATATCATACCTCCCCACGTGAATAAAAATGAGAAAAAAGATAGAACAGTTAATGAAAAATTGAACTAAAGAAAAAGAAGTAGCAGAAAGATTAAGAAAACAGAATAACATGTTACTGATTAATTAAGATACATCAAAAAATAAATCGATACATAGAAACCAATTAATATACGATATTAAATATTTTATTGGAAAGATTTACGAGTATTTCTATATCTATTTGTCTTTTTATTTATTCTAAATAAGTGTTACATATAAAATATTTATATACAAATGTATTAATAAGATTAGCGTTTGTGCTATAGTAATTTTCTTGCGTTCGGTGAATATTTTCAAAAACTTGCCATTCAGCTAATGTATGTTGCGCCCTTTTTCTAAGTCTATTAGGAAAAAGACTCCGTGCAGTAAAGCCCATCGTTTTATACCAACTCTTATCAGGGGATATTATTATTTTATACGCTTGCCATGTTTGTTGAAAGACTAACGCATCTGATGATTTTTCTAAATGTATATTAAATTTTGTCCAATATGAATATAAATGATCAAGAAGAGATTTTTCTTGGCTTAAAATAAGAATAATTTCATCATCCCATTTTTGTAATGCGTAAATAATTCTTATTCCTGAACAATATACATGTTCAATATACCTTCTTTGCTTATCGGTATAAAAGAACCAAGTCGGAAATAACCAAATAAAATGTGGCATCGCAAAAGCAGAAAATATTTTTTTCCTTATTTTAATATCGTGTTTAGGAATTTTATAAAACAATATTTTCATTCCTTGATATATTTTCTTTATTTTTCTTATTCTTTCGCTAATATAAGAGCACCAACCAAGTTTTGTTGAAATTGTTACACCTAAATATTTAAAATGTTTTACATATTCTATAGGTTGACCTCTAAATTCGATTCTCGGTTTTTCTGGTGCAACTACACTATGTACCAAAAGTGCCTTTGTTTTATTCACATTTATTGGAAGAATATTATCATCGGCGAATTTCCCTAAAATTTCTAGAGTTCTTCTAGCTCTTGCTTCAAGTTCTATTACATTACTTGAAAATCTTTTATCTAAATCGCCGGATATTTGTATAGCGAGGTCATCAGCAAACATATGTGATGTGAGCGAAAAAAAAAAAGAAGGAAGAAAATGAACATGAAGTCTGAATAAAGTCGCAGCGAGTACCGATCCTTGTGGGGCTCCTACATACATTTGTATAATTCGTGAGTTTGATTCACCGTACTGTATTGATAAAGTTCTATCTTGTAACCAATTATAAATCCATTTAATTAGTGGCGGTGGTACTCCTAAATTTTTTAAATTAGTAATCAACGATGGGTACCACATTTTATCAAAAGCGCTTAAAAAATCTATAAATAACACTAATGCGGGTCTATTGCAGGCAGCTACCGTCAACCTCAGATCCTCAACTAAAGACAGAATTCTTGTCTGTAACCTTCTGCCGGCAGTAAAACCACTTTGCTCATCTGTATAAATATTGTTTTCATTGCACCATGTTATTAATCTCTGATGAATTATTCTTTCAAACCATTTACCGATATTGGGTAGTAGAGAAATTGGACGTAACCTATTTACTGTAGGGTATAAACCATCTTTGGATAAACAGATGACTTTTGCATGTTTAGCCATTTTAAAAAACATTCCTCCTTCTGCACATTTATTAAATAAATAAGTCACGATAGAAATAAATTGAAGTGGTAATTTTTTAAGTAAAAATGCTGATGTATTTGCGCTGTCGGTAGATTTTTTTGGACGGAATTTATTCCATTCTCTTAGTACTTCTTCATATTTAATTTGTTCGAGAGGTGCATTAGGTAAATTCGCTATTTCCTGATATGTATTTATTGCATGTACATGTTCGGGATTAGTCTTATCATAACTAGGTACTTCGAAATGTTTCTCATAATAATTTGCCAACATATCAATCACTTTTTTGGGATTCGTTTCTTTCACATTGTCGTCCGTTGTTAAACCACGAAATAGGGGTGAAAATTTATGAAAAATAGGTTTAGTATATTTCCAAATATTTTGATTTACTGTCATCCAATCCAAACGATTTTCAAGTTTCGTCTGTATAAATCTACATCTTTCAGCAATAAATACTTTTTTTATATTCAAAAAATTTTCCAAATGCATTGATAATCTAGAACGCCGATAGCGCCTACGACTTCTGTTTACTTCTTTAGCAATTAAAATAAGAAAAGGGGGCCATGGAGGTCGGTATTTCTCAGCTTGTTCGTAAACGCTACATCTATCATGTAAAGAAGATAGAAAGAGTGAGAAAAGTTCCATAAACGAGTCGACATCAAAGTTGTAGACTAACGAATTCCAATAATCGAAAAGAACTGTTAGAAAAAAAGAAAATACACGCCAATTTGTTTTACGAAAAAATAACCCTGTGGGAATACAATAAGGAGATTGAAATAATATTGGTCGGTGGTCGGAGGAACCTTCCTCCAGTACCTCCGACTGCCAATCATTAGCATCATTTGTTATACCAAAGTCAATTACTGCTTCAGATTTTCGTGATGTTGACTTATTAGGATAGACAACTCCAACTCCAGAGCGCTCAAGCCACTTAAATAATTGATTCCCACTCGGATTATTTTTAGGACAGTTCCAATCGGTATGCTTGGCATTATAATCACCAAAGAAAATAAACGCTTGATTTATATATTTTTCACAAAGATGAAAAGGTAGATAAGATAGAGGAGGAACATAGATGGCTCCTATTTTTACTAATTCACCAGCTATATCAATTTCAACAACTAAAAAATTTATTTCCTTTTCTACTATTTTTACTTTCAATTTACTACTATATAATATAGCTACACCCCCATAAGAATTACTACCAGGTTGAGCTATACCATTATATCCAGAAAAAAAGGAAGAGCTCTTGAGGCCACTCCGATTCCAGTTAATACACATATATGAGGTCGGTAATTATTTAAAAGAATATCGACGTCAGGGATATGTGTATTCAATCCCTCAACGTTGTAAACTAATATTAGAAGATTCTCAGATGAACATATTGGACGGTCTTTTTTCCAACTTTTACAAAGACTAGATATAGAAATACGCGAATTCCATTCCCCTAGCATTTTGTTTAACAGTTTCTTTTCATAAATAGTTCCAATAAAAGAATCAAGAACGGATAACGATATACAAGACGGTGAAAAATGAAATACTGTACTATTCATTTAACGATATAAGTTCCATACCTTGACGAAATAATTCATTAGATTTATCAATTAATAAAGCTGTTGATCGTTGATATTCAATAATTAAATCATTTCGATCATTGAGCATAGTAAGACCATGCTCGATAGTACATTGAAGAACATTATATTCCTTTTTTAAGTTGGTGTCGGAGTTATTTTTGATCATTTTTTCTGTACACATATGCATTGCTTTAAGTGAATCAGTAATTATTGGAACTAGGGTGTGGGGTGTGGGTGTGGGGGTGGGTGTGGGTGTGGGTGTGGGGGGTGGGGGGTGGGTGTGGGGGGGGGGTGGGTGGGGGGGTGGGGGCGGGGGGTGGGGG